ATCTGTGCCCATGATTGACTAGTCACAATCATGTCCATGCACATACATACACACAAACACACACACGGCCCTCCTAGCACCATCGCTTTACGGCATACCTTAATGACTATCGTTCACACCCACCACATTTCGATTGTTCCCCCTAGTTCTCAGTTCTCACCGTTAATTATCATGCGTTACTCTTTGACATCGTTTGATTTTCTATGATGAGTTCGTCGTGTAAGTTACTGAAAACTAAAGAGAAAAACTAGAGAGCACCCTGGACAGCTGTATCAAGCTGGTTGGGCCTAATCAGTGCACTGAGTAAATTGATCTACCCAGCCGGGGGTCACGAACCCGATACCTCATCACAGGTCGAAAGCAAGCATACCCATACCAACTCGGCTACTGGTGGACAGCTGATCAGATCGTTTCTCATTTCTACTATAGCACACCCCATGTTTGCACGCGTGTTGCGGGCATCGCGGGCTTCGCTGATCTCAGCACCAGTCTCAGTAGGCCTAGGACATTTTTGGACACTTTCACAACGTGATTGCTTGTTTCCGGTGCATTACCAGCGAGTAGAGCAATACCATCGGTATGCCCTAGGTCTACGAGTCTGACTCCAAGGAAAACCTCAATACTGGAGAATTTCGTGTTAGGTAGAGCCTTTTCATGGCATCATCTGTGGTAAATTTCAAGAGAAACAGAGAGATACGGTATATCTGGTCAGATCCGACTAGCGACAAGAAAACGGGCGATGGTGGCCCAGTGGTACCATCACCTAATTACCACCCCGGGGGACGTGCGTTCAAATTCCACCACCACCGCTTGACTTTCCCCTTTGATTGGCCGTTTTCTCCATCCTAAAACTTATATCATTAAGTATTCAATAAAAGGAAGTAAACATTTTAAAACATAATAATGAAAAATATTCAGTAGGGTTATGATTCTGTTGAAAAATTTCACAATCTGACTGCTTGACGTTATTGGACTGATTTTTTCCACTGTCACCGCGATACGCACCTGCTTGCTCGCAGCTTTTACTAACTGATTACACAGAATCCTGGATTTCCCGTGATCTGTAATTCTTAACCGGTTTCCAAAAGAAACTCATTTTGTTGAAAGACCTTTTTCTGAACTTTTTTATGCGTCACCCTATGTGGATTGTGGTAACCTTTTTTTCATTTTACTTTCTTTTTATTAAATATATAAGAAGATACAATTTTTCAGAAAGGGGAAGCGGCCAATCAAAGGGCTGCCATGGGGAAAGTCAGGCGGTGGTGGTGGGATTCGAACACATCCCCCATAGCGATAATTTGGTGACGTCACCACTTGGCCACTACCTGTGAAGTCTATAAGAATTAGGTCCACTACCTCATTTTGATCTCTCCATTAGCGCGTGCAAAATTTTGGCCTGATCAAATTCTCGATCATTCCAAGTTTGTTTAGTAATCAGCAATTTATAGACTGAAGGGTGTGCTCAGCATACTTTCTGCGATATATTTCACCACGTCCTCAGGAAGAGATGATACGTCCATCAACTAATTATAATGTATGCTGCTGCTAGTGGTGGTGAAAACCGGATTATGGTACTGTCGTGGAGACCCATCATGTTTTATTGAATAATTAAAAAATAGTTTTTATTTCTGAAGCCAATTTAAATTCTTGATAGCGCAACGATCAACGGATTTGGGCAGTAAATTCATTTGTCCGACCCTCGAACGTGTAGCGTTGTACTGTTGTACTGTGAGTTTCACTCTTCCTGTGGTCAACGACTTCCTACTGATGAAATGCAAAACCGGTTGAACAGGAGCCCTGCGTGATTCGACAACATCGTTTTCTTCCAATCAGACCGTGAAAATATATTGTTAGTGTGAAAAAGAACATTGTGACTGCAGTGGCGTGATCGGAGAGAACGTGAAGACCTAACTGATCACTGGATAATGTCGATCGGTTGCCAGGTGGTTTTTGAGTGTTCTCAAACCATCAAAGTCAAAGTCTAAATCAAAAATTGCTTTATTCAACCTAATGGACGGATTCTCAGTTTCTTGCATTCCAGGATTATTAATTATCACATATAGTCACAAAGAAAAAGGGGAAAACAGCATAATAAATTCAAAGGAACGTGGCGGAAAAGTTTGAAAATGGATATTAATTGCGTAGGAAATTCAAAAAGTTTTCATTAACGGGATGCCTTTTGAGCCAGAAATCTCGAAAGATACGGGATGACGGACAAACGGTAGGCAGTGGTACGAGTATATGTAA